AGCTTCTGCATAGTTTTGCCACTCTAATTTGTCAGTCATAATATATCCCCGCACGTTATCACAGCTACAAGACTCCTTATCTGAATATTTGCTTCCTCCGATAAGACGTCCATTCATTTTTTTTACGAAGCAGATAATATCACCGAGGGGACGAAAGATGATCATAATATCTGCACACAAAGAGTAGTGCGATCACAATGCTTTACGCATGTTGATTAGGTAATCAGTCTCTTCTTGTCTCTCTTGTACTGAACTCTCTGTACTAACCAATATACCTCGCTGTTTATCTACATACTAAATGTAGCCAAAGGTAGACCCGCGTTCAAGGCAATTTCAAAGTCCATTTTCAGCAATAGCACGATAACTCCAGCTGCAGACCTAGAGTCAATAACAGTTTGGAGATGAATTATCAAAGCGTAACACTGTATTGAATATAAGAGATCATGATTTACGATTTTTGTATTCAATAAATTTATGGATATGAAAATGCTGACCTATTCACATTGGGACGTGGCAGCCGCACGTAATAGGTGAACATGTTCTGTAAACCATTATTTTCTGCGGGTATTTTTTACCGTTTCTCATGGGGTTTGAGCGAAACGGTGTCTGTGTTTTTTCTCCTCCACACCCTACGCTTGTTCTACATCTGCTCAATCCATGCCCTCTCTCACTATAAATTATGTGGGCTTGTTATGAAGTCTGGAGATGAACTAAAAGGTGGTCTGTGTCGTTAGAATTCATAATTGTTTCGTTCACATCGTGACCATGTTCAATAATTTGCCCGTCAGCTATGATACCAGAATGATTCATCTTGTTTTCCAGTAGCCTCCTTTCTCCTCCTCAGTAATTCATTTAAAGGGAGGGAGATGGTAGTCAGTTCCATGTGTAATTGTGTAGTAAGTCATAATTCGCTGACACCAGAATTTGTGTCGAATTCTCCGTGAGAGCCCTCTACTAAGTGTCTTTAAAATCATGAAAACTTTATATATGTACATGCACCCCTCCCTTAAAAATAGTTCGGGTTATCTAAAATTCCGTTGCCGGTATATATGCCATTCTCATCACGTGTAAGTATGCGTCGTTTGTGGCTTTGAGCCAATTATCCTAGCCATTACAATTTAGGCAATATGACAGAAGCACTAACCCTTTCCCCTCGTTGCAATTTCTTACTTAATTTCCAGGACAATTTCTTATTTTTTTTAGCTCAACGCAAAACTACCTCCTAATTTAAAAAAGAAATATAAAACGGATACGAATCTTGAAGAGTAAGCAGTATTATTAAATACATATTAGCTTCAAGTAATAAAATGCACACCTTATCACTTGAAATACCCGCCATACTAGATGAAAGAGGGAGATGAAAAATACTCAGAGTCTGAAATGGAGGTTAAAGAAAGGCGACCCGCCGATTGGTTCCAATATCTAATATCTAGCCAAATACTTCAACAGGGCAATATCCAAATTATCGCACGGCAATATGCAAACTATAAATGGGGGCATTCAGAGAAAAACAAAGATCGTATGGTTATCCCAATCATTTCCGCGGTCGATTACTGGTTGGAATTAGCTCCGGTGAGGAGGGGGGAGGGGGTAACTCGGGTGATTCAGCCGACTTATTATCCTCCAGGAATCATCGGAGTAATTGAAGTAAAATAGAGGAGCTCGTTTAGATTGATTGTCCAACCCTCCAGCATCCAAAGATGATTGCTTTAAAATTAGTCTTCCAGTCGTTCGCTGGTCTTAGCTTACCTGCTAGATAGCTTTTTATCCATTCTCATTCCGTTATTACCCCCCCCCCCCACCGAATATTTGTGTCCATCTTCGGCTTCATCTTGGTCAGTCCGGTCCCTGAAAACGAGGATTTTTTTGTTTCTTTAAACAAATACAATGCTTGCAATAAATTGGGCCTGGAGCTCTGTGGTATAATGAAAGGTAAATGGCACCATGCATTAAGTGGCATCTGTCACTAGCCGGCTAATTATTCTGCCTCATTAGCAACAATTTCCAAAGAAATGAGGAATAATAATTCCTGTCAACAGCGAACGGGACTCGCTTTGTGAATGAAAATAAAAATACCAATTTCAAGTCGCGATCGGTTGAGTTCGGCATCGTATGACGACGGCAAATTTTCAAAGTGGCTGGTTTTGTCTGTGCTTTCACAACGTATGAGAAATATAGCGTTGATCATGAAAGTTAGTCACCCATGGGTTCTCTTGTGCAATGTAACTCTTTAACCATTATTCAAACCCGAATGCATCAATAATTGCTGTGCATAATGCATCTTCATCATATTCAGGTAAGCTATTACTGAAAATGAAATTCATTAATTAATTACTATGGGGTGTTTTAATAATTGACTTCTAGACGGAAAGATCACAGACAAAAAAATACTGTATTCTGATATATACTTCTATAGAGTGATAGAGGGGGAGAGAGAGGGTGAGGGGGGGGGGGGGGGGGTAGTGATTACAAAGTAAAGACTAGTGTGTGCTACATGGGTAACGAATGCAACTGACTGTCTAATGAATACTGTGTATCGAGGGAAATGCCTCAGGCATGGGGAATTCAATTATTTCTAACTATTTTTTTCTCCCACGGAATATCAATCCATCTTTTCCATCCACTTCTTTGAACTATATCAAAATATATTGGATTTGGGTGACCATTTATGCCCATGGCTACAACCAGCATGTACCTAGACACCCATTTTTATTTTTAATCTCTCTATTTCCTCGAAGTATCATTCTTTATCTTTCGGTAAAATGATGTAGTTTACGTCTCTTTGTCTCGTTCTGCCCTTTTATGTTGACACTGGTGTAATTATATAATGGCCTGATATATTTTTGATAATTCAATGACCTTTGCCCGCTGTATGTACCTTGTATATCTCTCTGGATACAATTCCGAGAATGGCGACTTTTGAGTTACCCTCTTTTTCTTCATAATGATGATGATAATGATGATATTAAAACGATCACCATGACAACATAAACAACAGCAAGAATAACAATGATGTTAATAATGATAATTAATTATTATAGTTATAAAACTACCTGTACGACTACTAATAACAACAGCAACAACTATAATTCTAATCATGATACAAATACTAATGCGCCATTGATCTAGTTAACTATTATGAGGCGCAGGAAAATGACATTGACAAATGAAGAAGAAAACACGAAAACGTGAAAATATACTTTAACGAGTATTTAGAGTCTCCCTATACTTCATACTCTAAGTACATCTTTCTAGATATTTATTTATTCCTGTGCAGCTTTTTACTTCATATACTTGTTCATCGACTAAAACGTGTGCAGAAACAGGTTGTAACAGATTACAGGATTCTCATACAATACAATGAAAACATGAAAAAGAGGAAAATGAATATGAAGAATATTTCGACAGAATCAAAAGAGATAGGAACTTCAACTTCAGATGATAAAAGTATATATCATGGATGCAACGAACAGATCAGATATGTCATGTTTTTGGGATGTCTACTACTGGACTTTTCTTTCTCTTTTTCCCCTTTATATTTAGTCACTGTTCTCTGTCTCTCTCTATCTCTCTCTCTCTTCATCACTCTCTGACTCTCCCACTCTTCCCCTCTTCCTGCTGTTTTATGTATAGGCATCAGCCGGCCATTGCCAAGTCCAATGATTTTCAGAGATGTCAAACCGATGTTATTATGGTGGTTTTTAAGTCCCACAAGTACTCACATTAGTATGAGGAAAGTCATTTTAAAGAGAGCATGTACATCTCACAAATTGGTGTTGATAGGTGGAATTTCTTTCTTAAAATACCCGATCCAACCCCCTATTGTTAATCTTATGTTTTGGGAAGTGGGGGTTAAGGCGTCATAAAAAAAAACTCATTTTTCATAGGATCTTTAGGCGTGTCCACAAAGACGCAGATGGTAAAACAAAACATGAAAACCTGAAAAGCCAGGTATGATATTCGAGCCCCGGAAGCTAAACTATATGCAAGGGAGAAGATATATTAATGTGTTAAAGAATATAAATGAGTAAAAATCAATCTTGGATATGTTTGACAAAAATTAGGAGAATATATTAATAAATGACATTGGTGTTATAGCCCCTACGACCCTTAAATTCAATTTATGTCTGTCCCTATAACAATCTGATTCACTTGATGATAATTAATTGTAGTTCTTAAATTTGTTTAAGATGACTTAATGCACCTTTTGCAAGTACTTTCCTTTCGAAAGGGTCTTCATTCTTAGTTGGTTCCAAACATTTACTCCTTTAGTATGTTCTACGTACACATTCGTACCAAAATGAAAACGGGGAGAGGCAGAGTACTTGCTACACCTCTTTTATAGGTATCCCACAACTATTTCGATCGACGGGCGTGGCGATGATGATCATAACATTAGTTCAGTGTCGTCCATTACTCATGAACGACACCTGTTAAACTTTTAGAGTCAGGTTGGCATATGTTGTGGTGTCTTCAGCGGGACAAACAAAAATAAATCCAGTCTCCAATGTCGATGTTTTAACACGAAGAGTCAAAATGCATGGTAATGGCCACATGGTTTTGACTGCATGTCGCAATATGCTTTGAAATATTCTTAAGGTTTTTTGTTTTAAGCCAGCAAAACCCCAAATACCCTCGAGGATAAAATCGACAAGCTAGCTCGGATAATGGCCAATAAAGATGGCGAAAGGAGGAAAGGGGCATTTATTGCAGGTCATAGTGCATTTGGAGTCTTATACCTCTCACCTCATATCAGGTGATGAATGCTGTTTCTATGATATAAGGCAGTGCCATATTTTCACTTTGCTTTGTTCTCCCACTGTACATTATATAATGAATGATTTGTCTCATGATGTATAGCAAAGGAATATCTTCATTTTGTATTGTTCATCTGTCTCCCGACGTACATTATTTTCATACCTCGAATCAAATGATGAATGTATATAAAAATCAATGCAGCATCTTCATCTTGTTTTGTTCCTCTGTCTTCCGTTGCCCAGGTAACCATGTCTGATCAGAGAGAAGCCGAGACAGCGACGAAAGAAGCCAACCCCATCATTGATGGCAGGAAAGCAAACGTCAATCTGGCCTTCCTTGGAGCTAAGCCCAGGAATAACCCAACCACAAATGGAGGTAAGAATCTGGCAAAAATATACACCGATGTCCCTCCAACCCTCATCCCTCCCCTCTTTGTTACCACATCTCACTCCCATCTTGCAATATAATATACAAATTCCACTAAATCATTCCGCGTTCACCGTAGGTCCCATCAAAGTAAAGTTTGTATTAAAATTAGCCCAGTCGTGACCATGCCTTACTTTTGCGTATTCCAAATATTACTATAAATTGCCGGAGGAAAAAAGAACGGTTCGTCGAAAAAAAAAACCTCTCAAACACACACATACTAAACAGCCTGCCACAAATCATTATATGGTTTGAATAAAGAACGTTGATGCGTCACATATTTTGTAGAAGGGCACAATTTTGGGGATAATGATCCTGGTCATTTGAGACTATGACACTGTGGGAATGACATTAGAATTAGTGGACGAGCTAATCAATAAACTATGATAATCGATTTAAAAAATAAAAAATAAATAAAAATGAGATCCTATGATTCCAAATCCACCCGTGTAACATGACAAGTCTCATATCTTAACTAATGAGTAGAGGGACGACGAGAAGTGTCGTAGTGCCTGCTTCATCAACTTTATGACGTAGTTAGGTCATTGATTAAATGCTTGGTTCTCGCCGTCAGTAATTGTACGACAGTGATCTTCACACAAAGAAGTGTTTTGATGTGATTAGATAATGTCGATGTACTTTAGTCCAAGTGCTTACGTCATCCGATCCTTTGTAATAGATTAATGACCGGGTGAAAATGACAGTTTTATCACTCGTAAAGATGCCCTCCCCCCTCCTCCGCAACCGCGTCTTTACGCTTTGGTCCAATGCACTTAGCTGTTGTGTTGTTGATATTCTTGAACGAACTCAGAAATCAGCGCGAAAAAACGAAACTACGCTAGCACCGAATTATGTTATTGTGTTCATTTTGAAGTAAAAACGACTATTACTGTGTCATGAATGCTGTGAAATGATCATAAAATACATTCCATAGAATAAAAAGAATGGTCTTTAAATATTCAGACAATGATTAATCTCGACCCCATGCCCATTAATGAATAGGACTACAGTATCATGTACGTGAGTCGATGATAATTATTATGTGCATGGCCATCGCACTAGTATTAGTCAAAATAGCAAAGGTTACAGACTTCGCAGTCATGAATTTTTCAAAATTTAAAGATTTCTAGATGAGATGATCATCTGTATTAATGACTATTTCCATTATTTGTATCAGAACAATTGACCAATAAACTGAATCAATTATCACAAAATCCCATCAGTTCATATATGACCATCGACTTCCTTCAGAAGAAGGAAGGTGTATGCATCTGAGCGTCGGAAATTGGGTACTGTATCCACCAAGCCGCCATTTTGATACTCCCAATATCACTACTTCAACGTATGATATTATGCTACGTTCACCTGGGAATCCCTTAAAAGCTCATTTCATTTTTTGCCCAATATTGCATTGCATTGTGAGCATTTTCCGCTAATAAATATGTCCTCGTTCTATTGTCATCTCGGGGATTATCGACGCTGTTGCTAGTGTACCCGGTGGAGGCCTTGGAGTTACTTTACGGTGATCAGATGTTAATAGTCTTGTCTACTGCTGGTGATATAAAATGAAACAAACAAAAATAGAACTGTCAATAAATTGGGATCTCGCCAATTAAATAGACACGAACTTGGGACAAGCGATTTTGGCAGTAATTAAAAGATCGAGCCTTCACAAAGACCAAAAGCCTGACGACACCCTTTCAGAATAAAGGAATTGGGTCAGCTTTCGATGGGATTGGGTGACGATGCCAATAATAACCGATGAATTGTACGATTCATGTTCTTGATTTCAATTACTGCTGTATCATGATAAGCTACAAAGATATTAACTTATTTTCACACCATGATAATGCAGTATGGACTTGTCCGTAACCAGAGATTGAAAAAAGCAAAGTCAGTATGGTCTGCTTACTCTGCTATGAGCATGCAAGGCCTTAAATTAATATTCATGTTCGAACGTTTTACATTTCATCTGTTTGACAATACACTCAGCATTATTGCCATCGTTTCAGCAGTCTCCATAAATGTCATGAACTTTAATTATTCCTATGGAAATTTTAAATAGAAAAAAGGAGCGCGTGGACAATGGTGGAGTTGGGAGTAAAACGATCTTGCCGCAACTCGACAATAAGAACATCGCCGATCATGCTTTCTATTTTTAAGAATGCGATACCTGGGTTCGTCGTTTGTTCCTAAAGCCACGTTGCTACGAAAATAGAAGTATTGAACGCCAGATATTCCATTTGCTATTATTACATTCCACTATAATTCTTCCCGGTCACGTTTCACCCGCGATCGCGTGCCCATGTTTAGTCATACTCAATATTGCCCGCCGATATTTCCATTTTAGTTTCCATGGCGACGCCTTGTCGCAACCCATTTATGCCGTTCTGCCCTGGAAGAAGCGGTGTGGTCAGTAGACCCTGTAAATACTACGATATTTAGTTAGAGGGAGTACAGTAAGACCCCTCCTCCCCACCCCCCCCCCCCCCCAAAAAGTGATAAAAATCCATCGAATGGAATTATTTGGATTGATAAAACCGTGAGCTGGCCACGGTGTAAACTTTGAGATAGCCAAGCGCAATTTGGTTCCCTGGGGGAGTATGACATTTATATTCCTTGTAGAGAATTTCCTAAGGAATCCTTCGCTAAATATTTATCTCTAGTGTCCGCTCTAGGAAGTGTGAAGCAGGAAGTTGCAGAGACTTTCGAGAAATCGACCCAAGGGCATTTTCAATCAATAGCCTATTGTACTGTCCCATAGAAATCATGTTCAGATTATAGAATAGTCGTTGTAATGGTCGCACGTTTGAAGTTGGGTCGACAAGGCTATCGAAAATACCCTACGTTGGTTTATTGAAATCCTGTGCGATCATGTTGAAGAGGATTTCATTTTAGGCATCTTCATTCCGTGATACGCAAACCTACCCGAAGATGAAGGAATGGATGGAGATGTAACTTGATAATATTGGTCAGTCCGAATGTTTGTATCTCTGTTTCGATGAAGACTTATTTAGCTTCTAGAAAACAATTCCATTTCTTGAAGCCCTTTAATTAGATATCAGCTTATTCACATTTGCCTTTAACTTTCATTAAAATTACATATAGCAGCCTCACAGAAAGAGAGTAGCGTCGCTGTGATTCTGTACATGCAATCAACCTGAAGCCGCGAACACCTAAGGCATCTAGATCCTTGCATCCTGTACAACATTCTTGCGATTTCTGTTACAATCCTCCATCAAATCATGAAACCCTGTTTTAGGAGAGGAGAAAAGGAAGAGCTTTGTCATCAACTAGAAATAAAGCAATGCCTATATCATATCCCACTCCAAATCGACGACGACGTTAGCCAATCTCCCAGTGTGTCTTCGGGGTACGCGTTGTAGGTTTCGCGACCTTAGAGGGATTAAGCAAATCCCAATCACCGAGGGAAAAACGACTCTAAATAATAAGAAATCACATTATCTCGATATTATTTCCTCAAATGTCTCCTTTTGTCGTCCGAGCTTGGGTGTAAATCCGCCATGTCGTGTAAACACTTCTTAAATGGCCCTACACATGTCCCCCTCCCTCCTTTTCATTATTGTATAACATCTCTTATTTGTCGACCGCAGGGTAGATCTTAATACCTTACCAGTTCTGGACTCTTTTTTTTTTCTTCAGTTTTCTTGAGAAGTTGAATGAGTGATGACGTCACTGTGTACATGGCGCCATGGCAACGGCAAGCAAACACGTGGACATTTACCTGTATCAGGACCGTGTATAAACACAAATCTTTTTATTTGTGCGATTCATCTTCTGGTGTGGGTTTAGATTCGTCCAAAACGTAACACTAGTTGATTGCCTTGTCCTGTATCTCAATGTATCAAGACTCGAATGAGCCCTGCGATGGCACTGCAAATGGGAAGCCTGAGGTGGTGGTAGTGGGGGGCATTCCTTACCATTGTCAAGTTCATTAACAACACTATCGTTAGGCAATAGGCACCATGACCTTAACCCTGTACACCATCTACCTTTGAGGTGCTTCTGATAAGTTATGTAACTTATAAATGCTTCCACACCCATTCACGAATCCACACGAACGCGCCCTAAGATACATAATTTGCATAAAGAAACATTTCCTCATTCCATCACTCATGTCAAATCATTTAGTGGTCGAGGACTGCCAACTCTTATTCTGATCACAAATTCCCCGTCGGTGAAATATGACATGGAAGAACGATCACACGTGCTATGACTCGTGAGCCTCCGCTACTGTGGCACGATTTGGGGATATTTCCGTGACTTTCTGTTGACGTCGCCAGTACTACAGTAGGGAATTGAGCATGGACATGATAGGGGAAAGGAGTGATATTTGAGAAATAAGATGGGGATGAGACAAGGATGGGATAAATTTTATTTGAACTAATGATCTGATGGTTCTTGGGATTTGTAGGGTCAGTGAGACATATTTTGTAAGATCAAGATGGAATGCCGTGAAGATAGACGAGATCTGTTCGTGCTTCGATTAGACCCACTTTGTTCCAAATTCACCGGTGATTTATAGTAGCAATTCCATTTTATTATTTGTCTCACATAAAAAAACGATTTGTCAGAGTTACAAGTCAGATGAATTACAAAGTGATAACAGGCTACCTATAATGATGAAGTGTCTGAACAGTAATACGGTATGCTCATGAAAATTGCATAATTTTGCTTACCGATATCGAAGGATTCATTGGAAAATTAACTCACTTTACGTAGACTTTTAAAATTGTCAAACGTCAATAACAGTCTTCGCCGAATGATGATAAAGTATGAATCGTCATTAAATAAGCATGACTGAGTCTCTTCCATGTGGCAAGGAAACATTGCAAATGTTTAAAGTCCAATAACATGTCATTATTTATACCTTAACATTCATCAGGTACATACCTTAGTTTGAAGATCCCAAAATGTTATACATGTTT